TCAGGACAACCACCAGGCATTGTTCATCTCTGTAGCCACAGAACCTAGCACAGAGCCCTGCACACGGAAGGCTCTCAGATGTCTGCTGAATGACTGAGATGATGGGCTAGGTAAGCAGACAACCAAGAAATATGTGCGCTGAGCTCTGAGCGTTTTAAAAATGGCATTCAGTGTTATAATCTGACAACATGAAAAGGTTAATTGGATACAAATTTAACCATCTAATTGTTATTCTGCTGCACCATAATGAGGCATGAGCGGAGAACAGTTTGCATAAATGACTACGATACCGGGGTTATGTAAGTCCAGTTGTAAGTGGTTGTTCTTTTTTTTCTTTGTTTGTCTTTACATCAGTGGTATATTAGTTTCCTAGGGTTGTTGTGGAAATTGCTACGAACTTGGAAGTTTTAAAACAACAGAAGTCTATTCTCTCAGAGTTCTGGAGGCTGGAAGCCCAAAATCAAGGTGTCGGCAGGGCCGTGCTCCCTCCGAGTCCTCTAGGGAAGACTTCTTCCTTGCCTCTCCCAGCTTCTGGGAGCCCCAGGGGTCCCTAGGCTGTGGCAGCCTTACTCCAGTCTCTGCCTCTTTCTTCACATGACCATCTTATCTCTGTCTCTGTGTCTGCATCTGTGTCTCTTCTCTTTATTTAAGGACACCAGTCATACAGGATTAAACAACAAACAAAAAAACCCGTTGCCGTCGAGTCGATTCCGACTCATAGCGACCCTATGGGACAGAGAACTGCCCACAGGGTTTCCAAGGAGCGCTTGGTGCATTCGAACTGCCGACCTTTTGGTTAGCAGCCGTAGCTCTTAACCACGACACCACCAGGGTTTCCATATTGGGTTAGGACCCATCCTAATTCAGTACGACCTCATTTTAACTTGATGGCATCTGCAAAGACCCTATTTCCAAATAAGGTCCCGTTCACAGGTATCGAAGGTTGGGATTTCAACGTATCTTTTTGGGCGACGTAATTCTATCTATAACAAGTGGATAATTTAATCTTAATTACATACATATAAGGACATACACACGTACACACAATGCTGATTACTGTTGTCATTGGATGCCAAAAAAATTGCAAAATATGGGCTATGCCACTGAGAAGCATTTGAGAATTGAAGTGTGTAATTATGCTGGTATATATGAGTATCTGGGTATTGTGCATGTGAGAACTACTGGAGGTGACCAAAACGTAGCACAAGTAACGTCACCAAACCAGTTAGAACCAGAAGTACCTGGAGAAAATTTGCAGGTTATGTAAGATTCTGGAAGCTTGTGTATATGAGGTGAAAGTGCCACATATTTCATAAAGACAAAGGTGGGTGTGGATCTAAACAAGATTGTCTAAAGTCACCTGTGACCCAGCACAGACTCTGAGAAGGCAGAATTCAAGGCCATGAAGAGGACAGCGTGAGGCGGAACTGTACTGACAAGAGAATCCAACGGAAGCTTCTGCCACATTCCTTGTGAGAGGGATTGGCCACCAACTCATGCAAAACAGTGAATGGTAATGAATTCCATGATGTTCTCCAAATTTAAATGAGTGGGCATTGTCTCTTGGTATCAATAAATGTTTAAATTGATATAGCATACCGGTTATCTGTTATCTGTATCCTGATCATTAAGCTCCTTACCTTAGGCCCATGGGGAGTTTCTGGAAGGTTCCTCTGAGAGCAGGGAAGGATGGGCAAGGGAATCTGCATCTCTGGCCAAGCATCAACCCAGACAGTTCCTTTTGCCTCCCCAGCGCCCACTGAGATATCTCAGTAGTCTGCTATCAACTAGGGGTGGGTCTGGGTGGTCTGCTCCCTTCTCTCTGCCAAGCGAACACAGGCCTGGCACCCTGAAGAAGAGCTGGCCAGTTCTTTATTCCAGATGCCAAAGGGACAGAATCCAAACCATGCGGAGCCAGGGTGTGAGTTGATGAAAATTTGGAGCTGTGTCCTTGATCTAATTGCACCACTCACAGGGCAGCACCTCCTTGCCCAGCCAGAGGAGAGGGTCCCCCACACACCCCTTCCTCCTTTCTTGTGACACTGCCTTTTTCTATATACACCCAGTGACTTAGCCCTTTTAAGCAGGATTGTTAGATAAAATACAGGACATCCAGTTAAATTTGAATTTCAGATAAACAATATTTTTTTTTTTCTTAGTATAAGGATATCCCAAATATTTCATGGGCTTTGGGCATCTCCACTGCATCTGGCATGGGCTGTCTGTCACAGATACATTGTCTTCCCACACTCCCTCCATTGCTCAGTGGGAGTAGTGTCTGGAGATGAATGAGAAGAGAAAGAACTTCAGGGTTGGGGTGGCCTTGCTCCCCATTTGCCACCTTGCTTTTGTTCTTTCCAGTTCCCTTCCCCACGTTTGTTGACACATCTGTACCAAACCTGCTGTTGTCGAGTCGATTCCAACTCATAGCGACCCTATAGGACAGAGAAGAACTGCCCCATAGGGTTTCCAAGGAGCTGCTGGTAGATTCAAAGTGTCAACCTTTTGGTTAGCAGCTGAGCTCTTAACCGCTACGCCACCAGGTCTCCTGCTGACACACCAAAAACCAAAACCAAACTCTTTGCTGTCAAGTGAATTCCGACTCATAACCACCCTATAGGCCAGCGTAGCACTGCCCCATAGGGCTTCCAAGGAGCTGCTGGTAGATTCAAACTGCTGACCTTTTGGTTAGCAGTCGTAGCTCTTAACCAGTATGTCACACGGTACCTATAAAATCGTACATCTTGCACAGCATGAGTTAGTCTCTCGCCAAGACGCCTCATCGGGCTTAGGATAAGACTGATACTGGTGTCACTTTTGGACCTTATGCAACAAGAGTGTCTTTCCCTTCCTGACGTGGAGGCACATTACAAAGGCCTCATTGCATAACTTAGTCTTGGGACTGCAAAGGTCAGGGGCAAGGGCAGTCCGACCAGTCCCTCCTTGTTTTACATCCCCCTCTTTGTAGCTGCTGGACACCGCACCCTCCTGCCCACCTTACCCCAGTGCCTTGGGTTATCCATCCTGGCTAAACGAATGCTGTGACTGTGGTTTTATATTGAGACCTGATTATACTTTGGGGTCTAGGAGGGTAAAGCCACAGCTCTGGACATGGGTGTGTGGCTTCACCTGCTGGGAGAAGTCATTTTTGAGTGTCTGCTCAGATCAGAGATCTGAGTTCTCTGAGAACTTCCCACAGTATCATTCATTCACCCACAAGAGTGAGCCTGGGCATCCAAGTTTATATCATGTGACCGACCTTTCCACCGTATGGCCATATTTGATTGGACCAAGGATGGACAACTGACATAAGCTGAACCAATTAGATTTCCTCTTCAGGACCAATCCCTCTTTCTTGGCTTTAGGACCAAGACCTCTACCTAAGTGTCTGCATATAACTGGAGTTGAGGTTCTCTAGACACAGGGGCTGTGGACCAGTTATCACCAGATAAAATGTCCTGTCTGTCGAAAGAAAAGGATAACACGGAAGCTGATCAAGGTGTTGCGAACAAGCAGTCATGAAGTGGGCCGTGGGATGGGAGAGTGGAGGATAACCTCAGAAGATCCACCTCCGGCCCAGGAAAGGGTGGAGAAAGTGTTCCAGGGATTGGGTACCCCAGATCTAAGGATGGGGTGGTATGCTTCTCAATTGGTTCCTGGAAAGGGAGCTGAAATGGTTCAATTGATTCTCCAAGGAACACGGGCAGTGGGACAGGAACCAGAATGGGAAAAGGTACCACATATTTCTCCTTTTGTCATTTTTTTGTGAGACTGATGGATAGAGATCAGCTAGGTGGAGACGGTTCCTGGGAGAAAGAGTCTGGGATATCCCACATGGTAAGGATGTCTGTCCTTCTCTTTAAAGGGCCAGGCTTTGGTGTGTGTCAGGGTGGGGAACAAGAAGGTGGCAAGGGCCCTTGTCAGGGCTGGAACAAGGAAGGCTTCCCAACATGAAGTAACTGAGGGCTGAAGCAGGACCGGATCCAGCCCACCCCTGCTCCTCCACCACCTGCCCAACACTTAATCCCCACACTCTGAGCCTTCTGATGGTTGACAAAAGGCTCTGTGCTTAACCCTTCAGAGGAAAACACAAAGGAATCTATGGCTTTGGAGACACAAAAAGTCCGAGGGACTTTATTTACATAGACTTCAATTACAAGGAAACCAGAGAGTTTTTTGTGCAAAAGCATTTTGGTTTTTAGCTGAGAGCCTCACCCCATGTTAATTCTGGTGTGTATGGTCTGTGTGTGTGTGTGTGTGTGTGTGTGTGTGTAGGTCGGTGTCCTCCTGTGTGGGGGTGTCTGTGGAGAGCCCATCCATTTATGTCTTTGTGGGCTCCGTTTACTGACAGCGTGTAGTCGTGTCTTTATTCCCACTATTCATTCTCCTTAAAGAATCCTGAATTGCCTTCAGTCATTTTCGCTTTTCCAATCTCCCCAAAGCTGGTAGGTGTGCAGGTGAGGTGGTCCTGAGGTATCCTAGGCCCCAGATGCCCCACTGGGGCAAGGCCTCAGCTCTCGGAGTCCAGGAGGTAGGAGTCACGGATCCCGGAGCCGTTCCAGAAGCGCAAGACCACAAACGCCAAGGCCCCCAGTAGCAGGAGGGCGCCCAGGGCTCCAAACAGGATCCCGAAGAACGCTGTGAGTTTCATGCTCAGATGCTCACACTGCTTGCCCCAGGGCGTGTAGATGGAGAAGGGCACACAGCTGGGGACAGAGAGGGAGCGCGGTCGGCAGTGGGAAGGCCGCCCTCAGCCTCCCCACCTCATCCTTTTCTGCAGGGGCAGAGGCGGTTCCCTAAGACAGGCTAGGCTCACCCACTAGCGAGAGATGCCAGAATTAGCCCTGAGGCCATGCTGAAGTGAGGCCACTGGGCAAAGGAGGCAGGCGTTGGCCTTAAAAACGTGAGTGTAAATTCACCTGCAGTCAGCTCCCTGAGTGCAGGGACGGGGGTGGGGCTTTGGAAGCCCTACCCTACTACTGAACTTCCTGGGTCCCTTGGACACGTTACTTATCGTCTCTAAGCTACAGCTTTCTCATCTTTAAAACGGTCATAATAGTATTCACCCTGTGGCTTGTTTGCATTTTAGAGGTAATATACTTCTCATACAGAGCCCTGGTGATGTAGTGGTTAAGAGCTCAGCTGCTAACCAAAAGGTCAGCAGTTTGAATCCACGAGCTGCTCCTTGTAAACCCAGTGGGGCAGTTCTGCTCTGTTCTGTAGGGTCTCTATGAGTCGGAATGGACTGGCTGGCAATGGGCACCGTTCTTATAAAGAGTTTGTTGCTGTTGCTAGTTGCCATTGAGGCACTCACAAATCTTTTCCATTGTCCCCGTTTCTCTGATCCCTGTTCTCAATTACAAAGGGAACCATCCTAATTTTCATACACCATGAGGTACCATGGCATCCCGGCACCCTTTGCAGTATCTTTAACCAGCTTGGATTCCCCAGCACTGTCCTTGTGCCTTCTGTCCCCTACCCCACTTACCTGCAGTGGGGCCCTTCGGGCATGTGCTGGCACAGGCCTCCATGCTCACAATAGCCCTCATGGCATGGGGACACGCAGGTGAAGCCGCTCTGGGGGCTGTAGACCAGGTGGTAGCCCTTGTAGCCATTGCATTTGAAGTAAGTTTCCAGTGTGGTCAAGTTCACTGTCAGGTAGGATACACATGAACACCAAAATCAATTGACTAACCCCGAAGCAATACGTTTTAACCCTTTTGTGACCGTTGGGATATACGGGTGCCCACCCACTTTTTCCACCTCTCAGGCTCATTGGGAAGCTGCTTTCCCACTGACTGTGCGTGCTGCTGCAAGGCAGGGGCCTTTATGACTGAAGCTGAAAAACCAGGCGTGTGCTGCAAGTTGCTGTCTCTCCAGGGCATTGTATGAGGTGTGTGCATTTTTGGTAGGAAACAGAAATTTTGAAAAATTTTCTTTGGGACACTGTACATCCCTCTCTAGGGGGTAGAATTAGTGGGGCAACATTTGTCCCTTAGGGTAGGATTGTTGGTGGGGGGAAAAATCCATACTACCTATCCAAAATTCAACAACACTCAATGATTTACCATGATTCCATTAACGAAAACACATTGTATCAACAAAAAAATTCAAAGCAGAAAATGATTGGGTCTTGAAAGAATCAAGAATTCCATTGTCAGGGGTTTATCCTCAGGAATAATTTGAAAGTGCACAAATACATATGTTCACGGATGTCCAGATCAGTATGGCTTATGATAGCAAAAAAAAAAGGGGGGGGCAAGAGTGAATAACCTTAATGTTTAACAGGAGGGGTCTTGTTAAATAAGTTGCTGTATAACCTTACCAAAGGAATATTGTGCAACCAGTAAATACAATGGTATAGAAAATGCAGTGGTTAAAAGTATGTACTTTGAAGGCAGTCAGACATAAGCTAGAATTCAAACTAATTTACTAACTGGTTGTATGAACTGGGAAAGATTCTTAACTCTTTCAGCCTCAGTTTCCTTATGTTTAAAAGAAAATGATAATAGTACCTACTGTGCCATGAGATTTAATGAGATAATGTATCCAGAGCACTCAGTACAGTACAGTGCCTGACATATAGTAAAAAAAAATTTGTTGCCGTCAAGTCGATTCTGACTCATAGCGACCCTATAGGACAGAGTAGTGCCCGACAGGGTTTCCAAGGAGTGTCTGGTGGATCCCAACTGCTGACCTTTTGGTTAGCAGCTGAACTCTTAACCACTACGCCACCAGGGTTTCCAACATATAATAAGAACTCAATAAACAGTAACTATTGTTATAGTGGAGCCCTGGTGGTGCAGTGGTTAAGAGCTTCGCTGCTAACCAAAAGGTCAGCAGTTTGAGTCTGCTAGCTGCTCCTTGGAAACCCTATGGGGAAGTCCTACTCTATCCTGTAGGGTTGCTATGAGTCTGAATTGACTGGACGGCAACTGGTTTGGTTTTTTGACTCGACAGCAATGGGTTTGGTTTTTGGTTTTATTACCATAGCACTAAATTTAAAATATATCATAATACACTATATTAAAACATCATTATAAAATATGAAATAGGAATATGCGATATACAAGGTAATATGTTCACAGTTATTTAACGAATGAGGGGGTTATCAAACATTAGGTCAGATTTGATCCCTTTGTTGTAAAAAAAAAAAAAAAAAATTGATATGGGTGAAGGTTCCTATGCGTAAAAGGAAGTTCAGAAGAAGATGGACAAACAGTTGTCTCCGGGGATTACAAGTGATTTTTTTTTTTTTTTTGGTCTTTCTCTTCTTTTTGCTAATGTGGTTTCTTGAAGTCTCTGCAATAAACATATTGTACTTGTATAATAAAAATTGTGGGGTTTTTTGTTTGTTTTCTTTAAGAAAAGGCATAGTCAAGGCTGGGGTAGCTGTTTCTTTACTCTAGAACCTCTCCGCCTTACTCCACCACTGTCCCTCATATGCACACCGTAATTCTGAAGGATTTCACATCGTTGCCCCCAGAAGGGAGAAGTTTTAACCTGGATTCTAGAAGCTCTTGCTTGGTCCTGGACCAAAATAAAACAGCAGCTTCTGTTGTGTTTGGAAGGATCACTGCCCTGTTCTCTGCCTCATTCCAGAAAGTAGGGTGGACTATTCCTCTCCCTTAGGCAAGTTCTGCCAATTTATCTCATTCCCATCTGGGGAGAATCAGGGACTGTCAGAGAGGAAAGGAGCCTCAGAAATCCCATCCCATTTTCCAGATGGGGATGTTGAAGCCTGGACTGGGGAAGGGACCTGTGCAGGGTCACACCCTCGTAGTGAGGAGTTTATCTCTGCCCCTAGGCCAGGTCTCCAGCCTTCAGCTTAACATCCTCCACCGGTGGTTAAGAGCGTGGCTGCTAACTAAAGGTTAGCAGCTTGAATCCACCAGCCGCTCCTTGGAAACCCTATGGGGCCCATCTACTCTGTCCTATTGGGTTGCTGTGAGTCGGAATTGACTCGATGGCAACAGGTTTGGGTTTTGGTTTTTTGGGGGTAAACAGAGGCCGCGGGCATGCCCTTGTTTATGTTTATAAAGTGCCATTGCATTTTAAGAAAACCGTTAGCAATTTTCTTAAAAGAAGAAAATCACTGGCAGCGATAGTTAGTAAGGCCTTGGTTGGAATAACGACTCGGAAACTGTCCTGATGTGGATTCATTAAGTAGCACTGTGTGCTCCTGCCCTTGAATCTAAAAAACTGGTGGGTAAAATGTTTAACATGGCTCTCTAAAGTTATCAACAACAAAAAAATCAAATTAACTTCGTGCTCGTGTGTGGCCTCATGAGAATGTTTTTCTGCCATGGGTTTGAGTGGGCCGAAGTCCTATGACAGGCTCCCTCTGGTGTCCCCCGCCCTCCAATTATCCCTGTACTCACGACTCTCCATGTTGCGAACGTCTTCTCTAGAGATGGGACGGAAGTCCACATTGTGCCTAGGCTCCTCACTCCTCCGCCACCTCCTCTGCGCGGCCGGGAGTGAGAAGGCCTCCACCACGGCGTCCAGCAGCTGGTTGTTCAGGAAGTTGATGACAGGGCCCCGAGGTCGGTACTGGAACTGAGAGATGACCCTCCAGCGTTGAAGGGAGCTTTCTGAGGCCTGGGTGGGGGAATGACTGTTCGGGAGGGAGACAGTGAGGTGTTAATGATGGGGGTGGATAAGGAGAAGACCAGGGGCCCAGGCAGTGCAAGTCCCACTTACGTTTTTTCCACCAGGCTGTTCCGGAAAAAGGCCAACACATCCAGGGTCCTCAGTCTGTACGCCACCTAGGGTGAAGAATGGGGGATGGAGATGATGGGAGTGGTGAGGGTGGGTCATTCCAACCCCTTCTGAGACTCCACCCCACTTTAATGCATTTATTCATCCCTGTCTGTTCTCTGTTTTGAATGTGAGCCCAAGGACCCCCAGAATGTTTCTCACCCATCTCTGATCCCTACCCCCTAGCCTAGCTCAGTGACTGGCGTGGCTTCCTGCTTAATAAATATTTGTTGGTGAGTGAAGGACTTCAGGTCCTTTTTTCCCCACCTCTGCCTCATGTTACAAGGAGAGAATCTGAAATGAATGGCTTCTATCTTATCTCAGCTCCCTGACTCACATACTCTTTCTCCCACCACATGTTTATTAAACATCTATTATTTTAGCCAGATGGAGGGGGCAATCAGGTGCTGGGGCTGTCAAGATGCCTTAGGGACAGTCCTTACTCAACCTAAAGGCTGGTGCAATAGACAAATGTCAACAGCTTATTACTATACGGAGTGTGGAGTGCTATAGTAGTAATAATAATATTATTATTAGAAAATATAATAGTCATATTATATAATAATAATTATTATTTATTATTTTGAACACTTACTGTGTTTCTGGCACTGTGCTAAGTGCTTTCCATACATTAGTATTTAAAATTTGATACAACCTGTTAACATAGGTACTATTATTAGCCCTATTTTTACAGATGAGACATTAAATAATTTGTCTAAGGTCACACCTCTGGTAAGTGGTAGAGCAGGGATTTGAATGTGGTGTGTAGGATGCTAGAGCCAACACCCTCAATATCTATGCTTTGTTGCTTATAACTGAGGTGTGGACAAGGGCATGGGAGCCTAGGAGAGGGAGCCTCCAGTTCTCTCCGAGAAGTCAGAGGGAGACCCCAGTTCTCTCCAATAAGGTTTCCTGGAGGTGAGATGCCCCCTCGTGTTTCTCCCATAGAATACCAAGAAGTGCAGGTCAGGTCTTGAGGGACCCTTAGAGGGAAGGGCTGGGGTGACTTCGCCACCCTTGACTCTGCTTATGGTGAGTTGGTCATTCCAACCCTTTCAGCCATCCAGATCCTGGGGCTTCCTGACCTCCTCCCCCACCAGCATCCCCTGGGGCAAGGGGCTAGATGGATGATGAGACTGCAGGACACACAGTGGTAGCTCAGCCTCGGCCCTGAACCTGCCAAGACCCACTTCCCCTGCCCATCCTGGCCTGCAGCACTGACCGAGGCGTTGACCTCTGCAACGGAGGCATTTTGTCCTTCACTGAGCGAGAGCTGGATGATTCTTAAGGGAATCTCTGGAGATAGGAGAAGCAAATTCGTAATCACTTCATAGTTTTTCCTAGCTTTCCCAAGGAATCCAGCCCAGGGAGACCACCCCATTCTACAGGAGGTCCCTGGAGGAATCAGGAGAAGTGGCCAAGCCTTCTGACTCTCTTAGTGCTCATTCTACCATGACTCTCATTTCGCTGAGAGGCGAGGTCTCCTTCAATCTTTCCTCAGCCAACAGGACAGGCCAGTGGTTCATGATGTGACAACTGCTACCACCAGCTCCCATAGCCTACCATTTACCACCAGTGGTGCAAAGAGTTAACATGCTTTTTTTTTGCTGCTAACTGAAAGGTGGCGGTTCGAGTTCACCCAGAGTTGCCTCTGAAGAAGGGCCTGGTGATCTACTTCTGAACAATCAGCCATTGAAAATCCTGTGGAGCATAGTACTACTCTGACACACATGGGGTCACCATGAGTCAGAATCTACTCAACAGCAACTTGTTTAAGAGAGATTTAGAGTTCTGTCCTGTGAGTTTGAGGAACTTAGCTGTGAACCCCAAGTTTCCCCATCTTCCTGAAAGGCGGGAGAAATGTGGAGGTGGAGATGGTGGGGCATCTGGTTGTACCTGGACTGGCAGTAGGGGTGAAATTGTTCCCAGCCAGGAAGCAACGGGTGTCAGTGAAGGCTGGGGGGCACGTGCAGCTGGGCTGGCAGCCTGAAGTCTGGGAGATGTAGCAGTGGCCATAGTTGTAACAGTAATTTACAGGGCAGGACTTGTTCTGACAGAGGACAGAGCTCTCCAGAGCTGCAGAAGGGAGCAGGGAAGTCAGCAACACCATGGCAGCAGGAGGGATGGAGCCCACAGCCCATGGAAACCTGCTCCCTTGAAAGACTTGACTTCTTTCCTGAATACCCACTCAATCTGCATTCTGCCTGTGGGCCACTCTGAACCCTGGATTATCCTTCTCCTTTACTCTAGCTATTTCTCTGTCTGGCAACCTTTTTTCCTCTGCCAGGTAGGTTTTCTCTCAGTCTCCTGAGGGGAGTGAAGTGTTTATTAGACCTTCTGCATCAGGTAAGGACCCAGAAGGCTGGTAGGAGGAGGACCTGCCATCTGTTTTCCTCATTCCCTCACTTCCATCTCCTTTTCTGCCTTGATAAGCTGTGGTTCAACCCATTCTGGACTCTGCTTAGAAGACAGTAATCTCTAGATATCAGTTGGTGATCTGAAAGGGCTTAGGGGAGGCCTTACCACGCGGCCTCCAGAGGTTCAGAGGTAGAGGAACAGAGACTGGGAGGAGGACTCAGAGGGAAATTGAGGCACTCCTGCTGCCCAACCCCCATGACAGCCTGTCCTGACTTCTGAGACAGGAGACCCTGAGGAGCCCGAGGGCCCAGCTTGCCTCTCGTTCACTGGTGCTGCAGGGTGTCTCCTCCTTCTTCCTTCTCCTGGTCAAGCCCCTCTTCAGTCTTTCGCACTGGTTTTTCCCCATCAAGCCTCAGAGTGGCTCTGCCCTGGCCCCTCCCCCATGCCTGTACAAGCCCTTCTCCCTCAGCCTACCCATAAGCCACCCCTTTCCAAGCCCTCCTTACCCACCCACCTATGTTGCACATTCTAAAGACTTGCTGGGAAAAGGTTTGCCTTTGGCTGTCCTGGGACCTTACAGTGCCATTGTCCCCAGAACCTCATCCCGCCAGGGCCCTGGCCGCAGCTCACCTGCACAGTGACGCCCATCCCCAGTCATGTGCGGGGGGCAGGCCTCACAGCCCTTCCCAGGAGTGCAGCTTACGTTCGGGAAGCACTGCTCACAGGGGTCCCTGGAGCGTTCGCAGTACTGACCGAAGGTGTCCCCATCACACCTGCAAGCGGCCACCTGGAATGGAGAGCTGGTCACTGGGGAAACCATGAGGCTGAGCTATTAACAGGTGCTGGGTGTCCTGGTACTGACCCCTCTGCTCTGAGAGCCCATGAACCCCGAGTCCTTGTCTTAGCTCAGCCATTATCTACTGAGCACCTTCTTTGACCAAGCCGTGGGCCTGTAAGTCCCTGCCTCAGAGGGCACACAGTCCTCTGCCATTCAGCCTAGCTGGACCATTCTTTGCCCTGACCCCCTCAGCCTGGCCCAGGCACCAAGATTTCAGCCGTCTTCTCTCTCTTATCATAACCGCTCACTCACACCAGATCTATTTGCCTGAAATCCTTTCTAGAGTAAGCTAGGGTCTACATTTGTACATACATACATGCACGTACATACCTACATACATATTCTGCTATCTCTAGAAAACTGGATCCCACATAAACTGTGGTTTCCTCACTCCACCTCCTCTTGCTGACTCTCAACCAAGGATACAGAGCCTCACCGCTAAGCACAAGGAAGGGTCAGGCAATAACCAAAATTACGATCCAAGGAAAGTAAGCTCTTCTGGAAATCTCATTATGTCCCCTGATTTCTCCTTTCTGATTCTCCTACTGAGCTGACTCTGGAAAGCTCCCTCATATGGAACCCTCCAGCACTCAGATGTCAACTTCCAAAAGTGGATATTTTGGGATATCTAGAATAATGCATTGATTTTCATTTCTGTTTTTCCTACTCTGCCCCATGGTCTCCTCCACCTCTACCACTTTCAAGTAGCAATTCTTTGCTCATGTTTCAAGAAAAGTGTGTGTGTGTGTGTGTGTGTGTGCGCGCGCGCAGGTGTATATAAGAATGGAAGGGGTGGCAGGGTTTAGCCAGCCAAACGCTTTCCTTCGTAGCTCCCTCTTTATAACCATAAAAAGCAGGTAGGACAAAATTCATGGACTGAGGCCAAGTGTCTTGACTAGAAACTCAAATGGAGAAGGATTTCCTCCAAACTGGAAAAGAGATGTCTCTTTCAGTGCAAGGGGAGAGAAAAGAGAGAATGAAGGAGTTTTGGGGTCCCAAGATCAGAGGGAACCTGCACCTCTCTTTCTGGCACCATGAGGGTGAGGCCCCAAAGAGAAATGGCAGTGTGGTGCTTCTAGGCAGATGGGACCTGAAGCAGCCTTAGAAGAGGTTTTGCATGTCTGAGGAAGGCACTGAAGCAGCAGGCCACCTCCCTGGGCTGCTCGTGACAGACACCTGTGTAGATTTATGCCCAGGGAAGACCTTCCCACCCTGCGCCTCAATGCTGTGCTCTGCATTGGACCCCAGAACTGTGGAACTGGGAACCACCAGAAACTCTAAGAAAGGCTGAGGTAAAAGTTTCCTGCCAGCCTGACAGAACGGGAGCTTGGAGATAAAAAATAAGGTTGGGCTATGAGCAATAAAGAAAGTTATATTCCTTTATGTGAGTTTGTGGCCTGAGATTGCTATCTGTTTTACTTGCCTCCCACAGCTGTACCCCACTCCCAACGTGTACGTTACCCAGGAGAGGCTGGATTACAACATCCCTTCAATTCCCATTTCTTTTCCCCTAACATGGAACCCTCCAGCTCTCAGATTTCTACTTCCAAAAGTGGATATGTTGGGAGATCTGGAATAATATGTTGATTTTAATCTGTTTTTTCTACTCTGAAACCTCCCTCCCACTCTCCTCTCAACACTCACCTTGAGAGAAGAATTGCCCGCCCGGCTGGTCTGGTTGTATAAACACTGTCGCTCTGCACTGCAAAAGCAGGCCACAGTGCTGGGCTGCAGTTCAGATGACAAGCCATTCTTGGCATTTCTTGCTAGAATTTCCAGAGTGAACGGTTCTGGCAACTTTGGTGCCCATAGCAATGTTCCATTCTCTGTCCCAGGGAAGACAAGACCACTGAGAACTTGGAGATCTCTCTGCTCTGCTATTTGACACATCCTGGAGCTGGTTTTATGGTATTTAATGCCCTGATTGCTGATGCTGGGCTTTCCCCCACCTCTCTCAGACCACCCCCAAATATTATCAGGTGTTTCCTTGAGCAAGGCTGGCTTCCTGGGGTGATCCTGGTCATACTCTAAACTGGAGGTAGTACCAGCCCAACTTACTGATTACAAGATGGAAGTCCACAGAGAGGAAGGCAGGCACCCCTGAAGAGACCCCAGAGGGTAACTCTGCCTGGGCCTGCACCAGGGCAGGACATCGTTGGATAGGGGGGGAAGCAGGATAAAGGCCAGGATCCTCCCAACACCTTCCCTTCATCCTTGCCCTGATTTCTTGCCCACCCCGTCACTTCCTGGATCTTTGACCAACCACCTTGTCAGACATCAGACTACAGTGAAACATTGTTTATAAGCAACATCATGAGAAGTAGAAAAAAGAGAGAAGTTGTCAAGGATTTCATTTTACTTGAATCCACAATCAACACCCATGAAAGCAGCAGTTAGGAAATGAAACGACATATCGCACTGGGCAAATCTGCTGCGAAAGACCTCTTTAAAGTGTTCAAAAGCAAAGATGTCACTTTGAGAACAAAGGTGCGCCTGACCCAAGCCATGGTTTTTTCAATGGCCTCATATGCATGCGAAAGCTGGACGATGAATAAGACAGAAGAAGTGATGCCTTTGTATTATGGTGTTGGTGAAGAATATTGAATATACCATGGACTGCCAAAAGAACTAACAAATCTGTCTTGGAAGACGTACAGTCAGAATGCTCCTTAAAAGCGAGGATGGCGAGACTTTGTCTTACATACTTTGGACATGTTATCAGAAGGGACCAGGTCCTGGGGAAGGACATCATGCTTGGTAAAGTAGAGGGTCAGTGAAAAAGAGGAAGACCTTCAATGAAATGGACTGACACAGTGGCTGCAACAATGGGCTCAAGCATAACAAAGATTGTGAGAATGGCGCCTGACCGGGTGGTGTTTCTCTCTGTTGTACAGGTCTCTATGAGTTGGAACCAACTTGACGGCACCTAACAACAACATGTTTATATATGTGTATACCTATGTATGAATATATATGTGTGTACATATATATATACACACTCTTTTAATCAAACCTGCCTTATATATCTCAAAATAGGAAAGCCTCCTTAAAACAGTAAGGAATAAATAGATGAGAATAACTTCTAGCCATCACTCTTACGGAGAGGAGTCCAGTGGAGGAAAAAAAAATCTCCTGATGCTATTATCTTTCATCTGACAGGATGCCACATGGAGCAAAAGGAAGCAGATAATCCCTTCTTGTGCACAGAGAAAGAAAGAGAGGCAGAGAGGTGATCAGAACTCAGAATAAGGTTATGTAACAGCTTCGGTTTAGCAGAGAACGGTCGTCATCATAATTGGTGCTGACAACAGAGGAAAAGCTGTACCCTTTGTGCCCTGACCCTGTGGCCCAGATCACAGCTGCCGGCCTGGGGTCTCTGACACCATTACTGAGAACGAAAGACTAAGCTCTGCTTGGTTCCAGCACAGAAAATCAGGCGAGCAGAGACAAAGCTAGGTAAACATGGTTAACAAACACATAAAAACAGTGAGAAAGGTAGCAAAGGCATTTGTATTTCTTTAAGTCTTGTTCCACGTTATATCCTTTAAACAGGCATAAAAATGTTTTAAACTAGCATTGTTAATTGTTGTACTTGATTATTCTAGTAATATGGTGATTGCATAAAGACCCTATGACTATATTGAGATTAAATGCTCTTTGAATTAGTTGCGCATGTCCAGAGTCAGCCTAGCTAGTTGATCAAATAGCCACAAATCCATCCCTACTATTCACTGGAGGGCACCTACTTGAATTATAGGCACCATTCCTATGAAATACTGACCCTGGATATCAAATGTAAGTAATAATAATTGCACAGGGTATACAGATGCAAAATTATCCAAAGCTTGACTCTGACCTCATCCCCTACCTCCCCAGCCAAACATTCTTACCAAAGAGTGTGAAGTCAGTAGAGTTGTTTCTGAGAGAGAACGTGACATTCTCCGAGTTGCTGGTGTACTGAATCCGCTTGGTCTGGCCCTTGTAGGCTTTAACCTCGCGATCCCCCTCAATAGAGGGCGGATACTGATCTGAAACACGAAGAGAGGACTCGGGGTCTGAGGCAGGACACACTCTTCCTCACCAGCCTCCTTTCTCTTTCTCCAGTCGTCTGGTTGTGTGAAGCATTCCCAGGGCTGTGACCCACCTCCGGGAGCAGGGATTATTTCGTGTACCTGCTTATTGGGGTTGAATTGCCCAAGGGACCAAATCTTTAACATCTCTTTTTCTACCTCCTCCTCAAACATTTCAAGGTCTTTCCTGAACAGAATGCTGCTATGCTGGACGGGGCACAAAGTGAAGCAGAGAGCTGGGTTGTTCAGGCCATCCCAGAGTCTTACCTTTGGAAAAAGGCTGAAAACCATGAGGGTAATGTCTAGATGGCATTGCATTTGTCAGGAAATACAGAGGGAGTAAAAAGCTTTTCACTGGTCTCTGGTTTGTGGAGCCCTGCTATTTCCATTTCATTGTTTATTCATTCATGATTTAACAACTATTTCTTGAGCACCTACTATGTGACAGACACTGTTTTAGGTAGTGACAGTATATCAATTAGTGAAACAGACAAAAACCTCTGCCTTTATGGAGATGACAGTCTTGTGTGTGTGTGGGGAGAAAGAATAAAAAAAGATACATGTAAAATGTTAGGTATAAATGTTAAGGAGAAAAAATAAAGCAGGGAAGGTGCATAGAAAGTGTGGGTGAATGTGAAATTTCAGATAGGGTATCCAACAAAGGCCACGCTGAGAAGGTGACGTGTGAATAAAGACTTGAAGGAGGCGAGGAAGTGAGCCTTTGGCTGTCTGAGGGAAGAGCATTCCAGGCAAAGAGAATGATAAGTGAACAAGCTCCGAGTTGTGAGCGAGCCTGGCATGGTTAAAGAACAGTAAAGAAGCCAATGGAGCTGGAGTGAAGTGAGTGAAGTGAGAGCAGTGAGAAGAAGTAGGAGAGGAGTTCAGAGGCAATGAATAGGGTTGAATAGCGTCTTGAAGGTCATCATGACTGAGTGAGCTGGGGAGTGATTGGAAGGTTTTGAGCAGAGGAGTAACACGAGCAAAAGAATCTGTTAAATGAATGAAAAAAATGAGGTGTCATAGAAGGGGGGCTCCTGATCTGCTCCCTAACTCTGCAAATGCCTCTCTGGGTCTTATGCCACTTACTGAGGGTGGCGTTAATCTCCTGGAATCTTCTAAAGAGCATCCTAGTGTGCAGCCCAGTGCTTATGTTCCGCGTGGCCAGAGAGTCGAAGATGCATTGTGGATCTTCATTACACTGGGGGGCCGAACTGGGATACATGGAGGTGTTTCTCAGTTGGTCAGAGAAGACAGGGGTAAAGTTTGAAGGCAACTGGTCATTCCTCTTGCCAAGGAGACTTGTTCCGTTGATTTTCCCTGTAACATATGAGGTATGATGGTGATGGTACCAGAAGTGGGGCTCCAGTTGTATTTTTGCTGGGTCTACCCCTTACCCTCAGTTTATATGACTTGGGGCAGGGGGAGGGAGGTGTGGGGGGACTGAAAGGCTCTCAGCTTCTGGTCCAGAGACCCCTGTTCAGTGAGTGAAGGGTTACTCAATTTTTTTTCTTTTTTTTTTTATTGTACTTTAGATGAAGGTTTACAGAACAAATAGTTTCTCACTAAACAGTCAGTGCACATATTGTTTTATGACATTGGTTAACAACCCCACAACATGTCAACCCTCTCCCTTCTCAACCTTTTTTTTTTCTTTTTTGGTGAAAATATACATAGCCAAAGATACACCATTTCAAAAATTTCTACATGTACAATTCAGTGACAACTGGTTCTTCCAGTTGTGCTGCTATTCTCACTTTGGATGAAGGTTTGCAGAACAAACTAGTTTCTCATTAAACAGTTAGTACACATGTTGTCCTATGACAATGGTTAACAACCCCACTACATGTCAACACTGTCCTTACTCAACCTTGGGTTCCCTATCACCAGCTTTCCTGTCCCCTTCTGCCTTCTAGTCTTTGTCCCTGGACTGCTGTGCCTCATTAGTCCTGTTTTTTCTTATAGGGAGGGTTACTCAATTTTCTGTCCTAGCTCCCAAGTAGAGAGATACAGGTGGGATGGGGTGGGGTTGGGGCAATTCTGGGGTGGCGTCAGACCCCTCAGAGTCTCCTCCTGGCCTTTCCACCCCGCCCTTACAAAGGACAGAGGTCTGGGTCCCGTAGGCCTGACGGAAACCTCTCTCCCTTCCCTCATCCTGCCCCTGCCCCATCTGCCCTGAGGACTCAGGCCTAGACTTACAGGTCATTCCATAATGAAAAATCGTCTCCTCAGAACTCTCTCGGGGAATGGTGGTACCATTGGGCAACTTGAAGTCATCACCTGGATTGTCATTCCAGACCCCTGAGGGACAGTAGGAGGTTGGTTATCCTGAGATTGTGGCTCTCCTGTTCCTTGGGAGAACCAAACAGGTCATACTCAAGATGTAAGGAGGGGTAGGAGGGGGCCTGGGAAGCCTCTTTCAGTTGCATCTGTTCTTGGTTCTTTCCTCCACGGGGAGAGAAGAAGACCATGACCTTATACCCCACCCCTCTGCTTCAGGGAGAGGGGAAGAAAGTGAAGGAGGAAATGGAGGAAGAGAAGGAATGTGGGGAGGTGATGAGAAAGAGGGGGAAGATGTGGGGCAGAAAGGGGATGAGAGAGGAAGGAGAGGCTGGCTGCCCCCCACCCTCCCCAGAGCCCATTCCTGATGCTCCCTTGGCTGCTCTGGAATCTGGAGATTTAGAAGGAGGACAGGAAGTGAGCCTCAAAAGTATCTGAGAGTAGCCCCTTCTCCCTCACCAGCCAGCCCTGTACACTGAGGGTTCCGCTCCAAGGAGGCTGAGAAAGGGAAACAGCTTGGGATGTTCACAGGCCAGCAGGAGAGAGGAAGCTGCTTTCCACTTAGGAGTCTGAGCTTCTGCTTTGGCCACTGCCTGAGAGGCAGGGTCTGACCTGCTCCTTACCCAGGAGGCCCTCTGTGCGGTTTTGATACTCTTCTGGAAGGCTGGAGGAGGCATGGAGGATGTTGGAGAGAGCTATCACAGAGATGGTCACCGTCCCATCAATGTTGGCTGAGACCAGGGAGCCGTTGCGCATCAGTATGATTCCAGTGGTGTTGAATGTCTCCTGGCCTAGAACTTTGGGAGACAGATAAAGAAACCATAGGCATCTGAGGGGTTGGGGAGTGATAGCTAAAGCGTATGGGGTTTCTTTCTAGGGTGATGAAAATGTTCTAAAATTCACCGTAGTGATGGTTGTACATATCTGTGAATGTACATACTAAAAACCTTTGAATTGTTATTTTAAGGGGGTGAATTGTATGGTATGTGAACTATATCTTAATAAAGATGTTACGAAAAAAGGAGGAGACTAAGAAGAAGGAGGAGAAGAAGAAACCAGCCAGGAGCTCTCAAGGCCTAGGACTTGGCAGTCCTGGAGGGTCACAGTGCAGAGAGGAGACTCTGAGAACAGGTCTGTGATGTCCTGGGGGCACCATTTCTAGTGGCCCTAAACCAAACACACCAGACACCCCCAGAGCCCACACCACCTCCTTCTTCCTGGTGACTAAAGACGGTTATCAAAGGAGAGGACTCAGCACTGGAAGGAAGGACAGAAGTAAGGAGGGAACATTTAATGCCCTGCTCCTGAGGTGAAGAAGCTGCTGGGTTACAGCTGCTGAAGGGACAGGAGTGGAGACTCCTCTCCTCTGCCCCCACCCCCCCGCTCCCTCCACATCCCAACATGTACTGCTCCCAGGGCACTGAGCACCCCATTGAGCCCCAATCCTGGGAAGCAGGAGAGAGTGGCTGACAGCTGCCCCCAGCCTACCTTCAGCATCTTCACGGTTGGCCTCAAATGTCACAGTCTCATTATTGAGCCGAACATGGATTTTGTTATTGGGCTCAAGGATCCATTGAACCTGGAAGGGAATTGGAGGAGGCCTAGCTAAGTCTGGCCCGCAAGTGGGTCCAGAGGTCTAGAGCCTGAGCCCGGGATGAAGATGAAGGTGACAGAGTGTGACAATGAGGTTCTGATAGCTTAACATCTACTAGTGTTTAGCATGGGCCAGGCTCTGTGCATGGAACGTTTCTCTGATTATCGCATTTAAATTTCACAATAGCCCTGAGAGGTAGGTAATGTTATTATCTGGGGCACTGAGAAGTAATGTCTTCAAAGTCACACAGCTGGTAAATGGTGGAGCCAGGACCCTAATCCTGCCGTCTCGAGAGCTTACTCGCAAAGCCACTGCACTAGCAGCACGTGCTCTCCCTCCCTCCCTTCCATCTCCTTTCCCTCCTTTTCACCCCTTTCCTCTTCCTGTTCTCTCCTTCCTCCTGCACCTCGATTTCCAGCAGAAGGTCCCTAAAGGGCTGTCTATGGGGGATGCAGGATGTCCTGGGCTCCCCCTCGCTCACCGTGATGGGGTCCAGGCTGCTGGAGTTGTACTGAGCAGCAAAGGCGATGAAGTTGGTGGCTTGGGCTGTGCCAGTCTGGGCAGTACGGCCCTGCAGCAGGAAGGACGAGTTTCTGTCCTGGGCCCGGACCAGCAGGAAGTCCCCCAGCCCATTGAAGGTGTAATTGGCACCGTCTAAGGTGGTGATGTGAGGGTCCCCAAACATCCAGGCTGGAAAAAAGGAGATACCACATTGGCATGGAAAACCAGGGGTGGCGGTTGTTGTTAGTCGCTGTCAACTCGGCTCCAACTCAAGATGACCTTGTGTATAACAGAATGCAACTTTGGCTGGTCCAGCACCATCTTCGTGATTGTTGGTATGTTTGAGTCCATTGTTGTGGCTATTATGTTAATCCATCTCTTTGAGGGTTTTTTCATTTTCACTGACCCTCTACTTTACCAACCACGATGTCTTTTTCTAGAGACTGGTCTTTCCTTATGGTATGTCCAAAGTAAGCGAGCCAAAGTTTTGCCATCCTTGCTTCTAAGGAGCATTCTGATTGTATTTCTTCTAAGACCAGTTAGTTCGTTCTTTTGGCAGTCTACGGTATACCCAACATTCTTCACCAACACCACAGTTCGAATGCATAATTCTTTTGTCTTCCTCTTTCTTTGTCCAGCTTTCATAGGGGCCGAGATTTCCCCCTGGCTCCCTCACTTCCCAGGCAGGGCATTTTCTGTTAGACTCGAGCCTGGAGAGATGTTCATGGGAGTATGGAATCCTTCCCAGAAGTCCTCTTGCATTTTTGGGCCCCTTACTCCATCCCCATCTATTCATTATCTCACCACCCCCTATTCTCACCCCTTCCCCAACCCATGTGCAAAGCCCCGCCATTTGCTATGGGTACCACAATGGAAGCATCTTCATCTTCCCTGTGGCTATAGCTCTACCCTGAAAGCTAGCTCTTCCATGGTCCAACTGCCACATCCCAGTGGCCAAGAGGCTAATCCCTCCCCAGATGCTCTGCCTCACCTGGTCGTGGGGGCCTGTATCCAGCACAGCTGACAGGGGACTGCTTTTGCTGGTACAGGGTGCAGAAGAAGGGCTTGTCATTCCAGCGGCAACACCAGTTCTGGGGCTCCAGTTCCTGGTCTGTGGAGAAGAGCAGCATGTTGGGAGAGATGGAAGAAGTGGAGAACTCAACTGGAAGAGTTGGTAGGACGGGATGATATCATGCCAACAGCGTAGCTTTGGAATCAAGTACACCTAAGTTCAAATCCTGCCCTACTCGGTGATCTTAGGCAATTTACGTACCCAGTTATTGTCTCCCTTGCAGGCTTGTTGGATAAACCATTGTGCAGCAGAGGCCCTGGCACGTGGTCGGCGGGAGCTAAAGGAATTCCTTTCTTGAAGACTGTGTGCTGAGTTCCACTCCTCTCAAAGTGGTTGGAATGGGCAGGGGGGCAGTGCATGGTCTGGGGACTAAGGAGGCTGCAATGGTACTGGGAAAGGAATGGGAGGGCATACCTGGCTCCCACACACATGACCCTGTGCTCTCTAGCTCCTTTGCAAGGTCTCTGGGAGTAGTTAACTCTAAGTCTTCCCCTAAACAGCCTGCTAATCTAGGTGGTGCAGAGGGTTGGGGGGCAGCTAGGCCCCCTCCTCTTCCCTAGAAAGATGCCTCCACTCTGGGCCGGGGATACAGGGCCAGCTGGAGGTGGGGCAAGAGGGCACCCGCTCATGAATTTCTAGGCTGTCAAAGCCAGAAGGTACATTGGAAGCTTCCTGACTTTACAGATTGGGAAACTGAGGCCCAGAGAGAAGGAGCTGGGAAGGAATGAGGACAAGAGGCTCATTCTTGAGGGTCACACTGCTTGGTGTGGTGCCCGGGGCTGGTCTCTGACCGGGAAGAGCAGTGGGCTTTAGAGAAGGTAGGGCTGAGGTCTCTGTGGACACACGTACCAAACTGCCAAGGATGCCGCACTCTCCAGCCTTCTCGAAACTCTCCCCAGGGCCCGTAACTGCAGCACACGCCCCCTCGCCAGGAGGAGAAGCTGCACAGTTGTCTGCTGCCGAGGCCCCACCAGCCTGCAACAAGTCCAGGCATACTCAGGCCAGGCTGGGGGAGGCCTGTGGTGGGGCAAGAATGGGGGAGGGTCATGTGTGGGGATTCTGGGATGGAGCTGAGGGTGCCTTGGAAAGGACAGGTCAGGCATTACCCAAGGGGATGTTGGGTGGGTTTGTACGGGGGCAGTGGGGATGCCCCAAGAGACAGGAAGAAGGTGTCACCTATGTTGGTGGGCTGGAATCGTAAGTCCCACTGTCCTTGCTGCCAGGAGCAAGGGCAGGAGATCTGGTTCCAGTCCCAGCTGGGCCACTGAGGCTGTCTCTTCAACCACTGAAGACACTTGAGACGGTAGTTGGTCCTTTCTTCCCTGTGTAGCCTATAGAGCTGCAGTCCCCGGGGGCCTGGGGGAGCAAAAGGAAAAAGGGCCATCACAGAACCTGGACTGCAGGCTTGGTTTTAGCTTTCGGGGCAACCAAAATTCAGAAGTGCACCTTCATACCTCTCCCTTCTCTGGCAACTCTTCCAGGAATAGTTTGACCCAGTACAGATTGGCAGTGATTCCTCCCCAAAACCCCTTTGACATGCACTCCAAAAACCTTCAGAGCTTGTATCTTAGGCAAAACCTGGGACAAGTGCAGGTCAGGGAGGCCTCACTGTCCCCAACTCAGAGCCAAAACCTGACCCTCAGTCCACCTATCCTCCACCCCCTGTCCTGTTACTCTAAGCTCCAATACCTTCTAATCCCCAAACAAGTTCGTCCCCATGTACCTTCTCTTAGCCAGTGATGCCACCATCCATCCAGTCACCCTGTCAGACACTTCCTTCACCTTCACCCTCCCCCAGCAGGGACTCTAGTGGCCAAAGTAGCCAGGACAGAGGCTGATACCTAGAGGCCAGCTGGGGAGCCATTGAGAAGGCCAGCATGCAAACTAGGGGCTTGCTCCAAAACCACAAGGCTGAGTGAGGTGTCCCCTGTGCCTAGATGCTATCTTTGGGAGGGAGAAGCAACTGGGAGAAGAAACCCTAATGGATGTTTGAGCTTTCACTAGACCTTTAATTGGATGTAAGTTTACACATTGCCCACCCCAGCTGACTCAGGTAAGAAGGGGGACTCCCAAGCACAAGAAGATCGGCTATGGGATATGGTATATTACGTTTTGGCCCCATTTGAACCCGTACAAATGCATAAACTGCCAAGATAACTACAATTTGTTAAGATTTTGACAAGAAGAATCGTTGTTTATAATTATCTGTTTGCGTATCTTCTCTGCGATGACCTGGTGTTGGGAGAAACACATCAAACACTCCCTCAATACACACACACACACACACACACCATCATTATTCCACTCCTAGGTCACAGCACTTGCATCTTGATAGAAGGGTACTAATCCCACCCCAGGGTCACAGCACATGCATCTTGATAGAAGGGTACTAATCCCACCCCAAGGTCACAGCACATGCATCTTGATAGACAGGTACTAATCTGACACTGCAGCTGTCTCCACAAGATGGCAGTCATGATTTGACTTGGCTTCTATTTCTGATTACCAAACTTTTTGCCACAGAAAAAATAGAACTGGACTTGGGTTTCACAATTTGCATGACTGATTTCCAATGTTAAAATATCCTTTGTTCTGTTACATTTTGGAAACTATGATTTCTTTCCCTTTGGGTCCTTGGGTCACTACACTTAGTATCTCCTGATACTAAAGTACTGACCTGCTTATCAGAGGGTGAGCTCTTTGAGAGCAAACCTAGTGGATCATTTTCCTTTCTTTCATATTCCTGGCTCTTAGCACAGTGTCCAGCACACAGTAGGTACTCCATAAATGTTGAACAAATCCATGTTGGACCTCTAGAACTCTTGTAGATTCCCTTAAGGGATCGCATCTGCGTTCTCATCCCAGCTCTGGGACAGGATACTTCCGGTATTGTCCTAACTGCCCATTTATGTCCCTACCTCCCACAAGACTCCCATCTTCACTTCTAGGATCTGGTCCCTCACTGACAGATCTCTTGGGTTTGGCTTATCCCAGGCAAGAGACGTAGGCTGCAATGAGATGGTACTGTGTCTGAAGGAGCAAAAAGCAGCAGCTCCTCTCTGGCCAGCGCCAAGTCTCGATTTCCCCTGTAGGAGGTCAGACTGTGCTGCTGACACCCTTAGGAATGGTGGAGATGCTAGGGAGCTGCCCTCTAGGACTGCCATGGCATACAGAATGGAGGAACAAAGAGAATTTGAGACCAGCTCAAGTGAGAGAAGGTGGTGCTTTTACCTGAGTTGATATTCGGGAATTGATCTGGACGATACTTCTCCCACACTGGCCGGAATGTGAGGGGACTGTTTTGGAAATACCCATCTCCACTGCAGGCAAAGGAAAGAATCTTAGGTCTCTGTCACACATAGGGAATTCTCTTTTGATCAGCAAGTCATTCCTTTCTTCCTTCTTTTTCCTTGCTTCCTCCCTTTGCTCGTTCACATATACTTTTTTTGACACACACACTTTTTAATTCACTGAAGGGCTACACATGTCATACATAGTAGTAGTAGCTTTAAATAGTAGAAATCGAATTTGATCTAAATGAAAAAATAAATCAAAAAACATAGCAGATTCAACACATTCATGTAAATTATATAGCAGGCACTGTGCCAGTCATCAGTCATCAGCTCATCAGTCAATTATCCAGTCAGTCAATCTGTCAGCCAGTCAGTCAGTCAGTCAGCCATCAGTTGCCTGGTCAGTCAGTTTGTAGGCTGACTGGCCAGTAAGAATCATTGAGTTCCAGTAATGAGCAAGAGAGAAAAGATGGATGAGACAGGAATGGCTCCAACTTATTCCACATCTGGTTGCTAACTGCAAGGAATTAGCAATTCAACTTGGTCATGAGACAAGGGTGTAAAAACAACAAAGAGTTCAGGCCTCCGTCCATTGGTTTCCCTTAAACTAGGGATTGAAGGGAGTCCCTGGGTGGTACAAATGGCTAATGTGCTGAGCTGCTAACCTAAAGGTTGGAGGTTCCAGTCCACCTAGAGGCACCTTGGAAGAAAGGTCCTGGCAATCTACTTCAGAAAATGCAAGCACTGAAAACCCTATAGAGCACAGTTCTACTCTGACGCACATGGGGTTGCCATGAATCGTTGACTCCCCGGCAACTGTTTTCAAGGGACCGGGGAGGGGGCTCTGTAGGGAACAGTACTTTGTGATGGTTAAGAGCTGGTCTCTGGAGTTGGACAGTTAGGGATTCAACTCCTGACTCCAGCACTTACTAGCTTGGTTACCATGGGCAAGTTACTTAACCTCTCTGATTCTTAGTTTACCCATGTGTGTAAAAGGGCTTATAGTAGCATCTACCTCCCGGTATTGTGAGGATTAAAAGCAGTAACATTTGTAAATCCCTCAGAACTGCCACCATGTTACCACCATCACCATCCTCAGTTTCCATGATGGAAGTGCTGCTCTAGGAAGGAGGAAAACCTGGAGCGGCAGCCTCAGAGCAGACTCCCAGCCTTCTCTCCCCTCTGGCACAACCACAGATGACTGTTCACAGGCATGCCCCCTCCCTCAGTGTACTCGGGATGGTGTGAAATTCCTAGCTGGTTGAATAATTCTCCTTCTCCACAGCACATCAAGACGAAAGTGAAGGCAATGTAATTGTAGTGGCAATCCTGAATACTCTAATATAAGAGAAAATCATTTGCAGCAATTACCAGTAATAAATCACACGTGACTCTTGCCACACACCAGCAGCTGGAGACGTGATGGTTGAGAACCAGTGCATCAGAGACTGAACTCCTTCCACACATGGAAACCCACACTTCGCCCATTCCACCTCCGACCCTCCACTCTTCCTCTTCACCCTGACCCATGTAAGCTGTTGGGTGGCCCTGAGTGAGTGGCTAATTCTAAGACTGATTTTGAAAGTCAGGGAGGCAGATCCCAGCCTCAGATGTCTGGGTTCAAATCCTTGCTTTGTCCCTTCCTAGCTCTGTGCCCCGGCAAATTACGTATCTATTTGTTCCTCAGTTTCCTTATGTGTGAAATGGGGATAATAAATAGCATCTACCTCTCGGGGTTTTTGTGATACTCAAACAAAATAATGCATATAAAGTACCTAGTGGAATAAATGTTAGTTATTTTTATTAGAAGAAGCCCTAGTGGTTAAGAGCTCAGCGGCTAACCGAAAGGTCAGTGATTAGAACCCACCAGCCTCCTCGGAAGAAAGATGTGGCAGTCTGCTCCCTTAAAGATCACAGCCTTGGAAACCCTATGGGGGTAATTCTACTCCGTCCTATCGGGCCACTGTGCGTCAGAAACGACAGCAACAGGTTAGGTTTGGTGGTTTGGTGTTTTTATTACAATATTTGAGAAGTCAAGAGAGGTCAGCTAATATCAGTGGAAATCAGGAAAGTCAAAGCTGGGAATTATTAAAGTGCACAGGGATTGGTTCCCTTGACTGGTGACAGGGCTGGTGGGGTTAGGCCACAATTCTCTTGCTTTGTCAGTATTACTGAATGGGACTCTACAGAGTTAGTTGTTAGGCGTGTGAGCAAAGGCATAGTGCATGGTTGGTTGGGATAGGAAAGACAAGGGCAGGGCAAATAGGGATCTTTTTATTTGAAATGGAGTCTGTGGGCGGTGCAAACAGTTAATGCGCTTGGCTACTAGCTGAAAGGCTGGAGGTTCAAATCCACCCAGACGACCTTGGAAAAAGGGTCTTGCAATCTACTTGCAAAAAATCAGCCGTTGCAAACTCTAGGGAGCACGGTTCTACTCTGACACACATGGGGTCGTCATGAGTTGGGGTCGACTCATGTTTTTGTTTTAATTTGAAACAGCTCAATGTGTGGCTTCAGTGGGACCTGGAGTCAGCTTGAGTCAAACCACCAGCAAGGAGGATTCATGCCTTGTCCGAAGGGATGGGTGTGTGTGTGTAGTGAAACCCGGCTCTGCACCACTTCATATTATTTGGTCAGTGCTGCCAGCCCCTCCCATCCTACCTGGAGAAGCCCATGAGGACGGCATTGTCTAGGTGTTGGGCAGCGTCCCACTGCATGCCACCACTTTGGTAGAGAAACAGGGCATAGGACTTGCTCCCGTCCGTGGAGAGGATGGCCTGGTAGGTGTTGGTCTAGGGGTTGGTTGGAGACAAACATAGAGATGCCTGTGAGAGATCTGGGGTCCCTGCCCTAATGCCCCACCATGCACCCCACACCACTGCCTCAATGCACATATCACCTGTTCCTGGTCTACCCAGAGCAAATTTGGGATTGTCTAGGGTAGCTTTTCCCTTGGATGTCAAAACACCAAACATGATGGATTTGCACTTTTTGTGACTTATTTCCAGAGAAGAGAGATAAAGGGCTCTGGGTTACAATCAGGTTAAAAGGGTTTGTGAGAGAAAGCTACAGGAATCTGAGAGATTAGCCAAGACACCAGAGAGCTGAGAGAGGTTTAATTAGTTTCCTCAGGGATATTTAAGGACAAGGTCCCAGTGTCCTCTCAACCTGAATGATGTGGGAGGACATGCTGCAGGTGAGATTGGAGGGTCTCTGAAGGCAGGGCCTGACCGGGTGCCAAGCACTGTGCTTTGTGCAAAGTAGGTAATACACAAATTTTTGTTGAATGAATGAAGAAATGAGTGGCTTTAGACCAGACACAAGGAAGAACATTGTGACTGTAAGATTTGTGAGTCCCCAGAGGGAAGACTAAGGAGCTTGAATGGCGTGCCCCACTTCCATTGGGTGGCATTGTGGTTAAGAGCCAGAGTCTGGAGTCAGAAAAACTTTGGTTCGAGGCCTGGCTTTGCCATTTACTAGCTGGGTGTCCTCAAGTAAGTTGCTTAACTCCTCTAACCGTCATGGTCCTCATCTCCAAAATTACAACCTGGATAGTAATATCAGGTTGAACCATAGGAAACTGCCAATAGGCAGTTATTTTTTACCTAAAAAATTCCATTTCCCGTTCCCACCTAATAATACCTCCTGCACAGGGCACCGTGAGATAACGTAAGTGGGCGCCACTAGGGTTGGTGTCACCCAGTGCAGTAACTCATGGTGTCAACCACTCCATGGACCTCCTTCCATACCAGATCACACAGAATCCTTAGTAAGTTTTTTTGTGCTACTGTTACTTGTAAATCGTAACTCCCATATATCATTCCTTCCTTTCCTTTATTTTCTACTTCATTCTCAAGAAAGTTATTGATATAAATTCACAAATGCTAATTACCACAGTATTGTAGCTAAAACACCAGAAAATTTGACCAAACCAGCAAATATAAAAACACCGGGAGCAATGAAAACAACAGCGGGAGCTTGTAGCATGTACAGATGAAACCACGTGATTCAAAGTGTCATTGTAATTGGGTAATAATGACAGCTCTGACCAGAGCACATTAGAAGGTTCAAAAAGTAAATTAGCATGGAATTTTAGCCTTGTAGGTATGTTAATACATGTAAGCCGGGCTTACAAAAAATGTTGTTGTTGTTACAACTAACTATAGAGATTTTTTTTTTTTAAACTGTTGTGCTTTAAGTGAAAGTTTACAATTCAAGTTAGTCTCTCATACAAAAATTTATGCATACATTGTTATGTGATCCTAGTTGCTCTCCCTATACTGTGACAGCACATTCTTCCTTTCCATCCCACGTTTCCCATGTCCATTCACCCAGCTCCTGACCCTCTCTGCCGTCTCATCTCACCTCGGGACAGGAGCTGCCCGTTTAGTCTCCATGTATCTACTTGCAGCATAAGCACACTCTTCACGAATATCATTTTATGTCCCATAGTCCAGTCTAATCTTTGTCTGAAGAGGTGGCTTCGGGAATGGTTTCAGTTTTGGGCTAACAGATAGTCGGGGGGCCGTGTCTTCCAGAGTCCCTCCAGTCTCAATCAAACCATCAAGTCTGGTCTTTTTACTAGAATTTGAGTTCTGCACCCCACTTTTCTCCTGCTCCATCAGGGACTCTCTGCTGTGTTCTACAGGGATATTTTTTATAAAAAATAATAAATTTCTTCTGAAACACTGCACAAAAATTTTATAGATAGTAATTTTGGTGTTACCCCCTAGTTATGC